CCCCCCCCCCCCCCCGAGATAGTAGGCGGTTCCACATTTGCCATTAAGGGTTCTACGTCACTTGTGGGCTCCTGATGGGTGCCAGCTGATGGTCATGTTCATTGATTTTCGAAGCATTCGGCCAATCGGTCCAGGTCTTCTTTAATCAAGATGTTCACTCCATTCCGATCCTTGGTGGTTTCGCACACAGGTGGTTTCCGGGGACCGGTCGCAAGGATCAACTGAAACGATCTTCGGGCAATACCGGCTTTCTGGGCCTCTTCCATTTCGTTGGCTTTCTGGTCGGCTCGCACGCTCACTTTCACTTGACAGCTGGGATATTTCTCCGATATTTAAGCAGTGTCACTGTTTGATCTGATATCCAGTACTTGGGTGCGCCTGGTTGGGTCGCACTACAGGCGAAATTCCCAACACCATGCAAAGAGGCAGTAATCTCGTCCCAGTTTGAGTCCACATCTGATGGTGAAGCATTTGGAAGAGACTCTAGAAGACGATTCTGGTAAATTCGTCTAACATACGGATCTGCCAGTCTCTCAGTTGCCAAGCGATTTGTCCGCACGCCCTGGAAAACGTAGAGAGAAGCGCGTGGTTAGAGTCCACAAATGTTTCAAAACAACCGGCAGTCAGTTATTGATCAGAGCCATCGGTAACTGATGGCAATGTGGTCGATTTGAGTTTGTGGCCGACCTGCCGTCGGAGGACACCATGTGGCCAGACGAATTCGGCTATTTCGGAAGTTGGTATTGCATAAAAACAGCATGCGATCAGCACATAGCTAAAGCAATCCTTCCCCACTGTTCGTATGTAGCGCGCCCAATCCATGTGGACCTCCTAATTAAGTCTCAGATACGTTAAGCCTGCTCACTTGCGCATTCAAATCTCCGACAACTACCGCGATATCTGAGCTTTTAGCTCGCCACAGCAGGGCATTTAGGGCGTCGTAAAACCCGTCTTTGACGGCGTCGGAGCTACAGTTAGTTGGTGCGTAGACAGACACGATAAACAGACATCTATCAACTTGCCGCTTGTCAGACTCCTTCACAAACATTGTCAGACAAAGCGCACAGAGGCGACTATCAACAGGTATCCAGTCAAGTAAGGATACTTCCGCCCGGTGAATTAGGACGATACCGACCTTTGCATATCCCGCCGCAGCAGCGTCCCCATCACCAGAGATTCGCAACCGGAAGTGAGTGGAGAGTAATGAGGAATTAGTTCAACCACTGTGCTTGCATCTTGAATTATTGTCTCTGAGACACTACAGATCAATGTCAAGCGAGTCCAGTGTGAGTGCAAGGGCAGATTGTTGTCCTGCTTGCTTCAGGGTGCAGAGATTGAAGGCGGCCAGATAAACCGGGTATCGAGGCTTAAAGATTGATTTGAAGATACCTGAGGATGTCGGTGTTATGTGACAGCCGCATGCAAAACCGATACAAGACGAACGGAGTCATCAGTGCTAAGTACTGGGCCTACAAGAGAATTATCAATGGGATGGGAAGAGAGGGAAGAAAGAGTATGCTAAAGAAAAAGAAGGGAGCAGCATTAGCCTGTTTTCGCTTACCAGCCCTGCTACATGCAGTAAGGCGACCCGGCTGATGGCACCACGCGAACGGCCGAAAGTGGCATGAAAGTATTGTTAGCTGTAAATGTCATGGTTGTACGGGGGCTGGGATACTGTCAGGGCGCTCACATCTAAACAGCAGCAATCGAAGTCTTTGGCTCAAAAGCCTAGCCGCGATGTCTGGCAGGAAATGCCAATGCATTACCATTTCTACGGAACAGGGAGCGAGATGACGCAGTGATTAGAGCGCCAATTTATTGACGCGAGTGTCCGTGGTTCGAACCCGACCTCTGTCTCTCGACTTCCCCTGTTTAGGCTTGGGCAACCTGACAGTATCTCAGCCGTCGTGCTTCCTTTGGGTGGCACCGCAGCTAGGCACCAAATGGATGTCACGGCTGAACGATTATTTTTATCTTATCTTTCTACGGAACAAGTTGCCACATGTTCCAACCCCCAACCTGAAGGACAAGGAGACCCCTAACCATTGACCAACCTGGTATGAGAGACCCTGTGGGCGTCACGGGGCACCCTACAGTATAGCTCAATGGGTCGCTGAGGTGTGAAAACCGTCACACCACGGTAAGGTCCAGTCTCCTCGTGACGGATCTTTCAGTATGACAGTTATCCCGACGGTTGGCAAAAGCGCGAAACCGCTTGGCCTCTGTAACGTGAACAGTAACGAGCGTGTTTTGCTGTCAGAACACTACTTGGCTAAATGTGTGGTTGAAGTCCAACCCCGGGATCTCGACTGCTTCTGTCTAGGCTTGGGCAACTTGGCGGTATCTCAGCCCTCGTTCTTTCCTCGGATGGCATGGCAGCTAGACACCCAAAAGGTGTTCCAGCTGGACGGTTATTATCTATTAATTATCTTTAGTGCCTTCAGACGAACTGAGAAAATGGTATTAAAAACGGCATTATTTCTGAGGGTTGGCATCTTGATCGCAACCACATCTGCATTGGACCAGATTTGTCCGTCTGTCTTTCTCTTTGATCACTGTCACTGCCGCTGCACTGTCCCGAAAAAGGAGTAAGCCATTTGTGGTTTTATGGATCAACATGACTTGTATACCAGGTAGTAACTGCTGAAACACTGAAATGGGAAAGGAAGGCAGCGAAGCTGGAAAACAGAACTGATCAACACAGAACAACAAATTGTCGCTGATTTGCTCACTGAGCTGGGCAAATTGGTTGCAAACGTCTCACCATCAGTCAAGGGCATCAGTGCGCAGCATATTCGAAATTAACCAAGATTCAACCAGTCGTAGTGGATTCTGTTGTCATATTAGGTTACGGTCTAAACGGAATCTCGATGGGCAACAAAACGTTCACTTGTTCGTGAGTACCCACACGGCAGGAATAAATGACGATCGTACGAGCCCACCAAGTTGATACACTAGTATGATTAAATGGACTGTTACTGAACAGATGGAATAGTTCCATGATCCGAACAAAAACAAACTGATTGCAAGCTAATGAAGTGCATAAAGTGTGAACTACTCATCTCATTGGTTACCCAGTCTGATGGGTATTTTGGTAAGCCCTGCAGGTGGTTTACTATTTAAGACAACGAAAACCTAGAAGGAGAGCATTTTTAACTTGGAATACCTTCTATAAAATGCTTAGACCAGGTCCACAAAGTAAATAAGCAATGCTTCTCTACCTAATGGTTCGAAGATGCAGTCGTGTAATGCGTCCCCTTAGTACACAACTATTATGCAGTGCAGTTTTATATATTTTTTCATTTCCTAAAAAATTCCGGTGTTCTGTGTGTTAGCTGAATTCACTCCGAGTGTACACACCCAAGACCATTTGAAACAAATCAGAGCCGCCCACTTGGTCTTCATCGGGCGGTTTACAGTGCACACCTACCGGTCTGATACATACAGTTTGTCGATTCGCATTACATCAACTAATGTCGTTTGGTGTCACTTACCCCACTGAATTCTGGTATGGAGTTCATGAAGATTGGTGGATGGATAAAGGTTACACCACCGGAGCGAATTCTCACATTTTCGTCAACTAGGTGAATACTATCCAATACAATACATTTAAGTTTCGGTCGCTGGCAAATCAATAAGCTCCCGATGAGACAGCACTCACTGTTGTACGGATGGGTGCTAGTTCTCGACACGGGTGGTCAATCTGCACAGCGTTATCCGCATAACATAAAGTCACAAGATGAGGAACAATTAAAGAGGCCCATGAGTGATCTCTCCTAGGATGGCGATCGAAAGACGGTGTCCGCAATGTTGCTGAATCGGACTCGCCGTGGGTACTGTTTGCTGCAGTAATACTCCTCTAAAAAATCGTTCAGCCGTGGCACCCTTTCGGTGCCTAACTGCCATGCAACCAGGAGGCACGAGGGCTTCTAGGTTAGCCAAGCCTAAACAGGGGAAGTCGAGAGGCAGCGGCTGGGTTCGAACCGCGGAAATTCCGGTCAGTAAATTCGAGCTCTAACCCCTGAGCCATCTCGCCCAAAGTAATACTCCTCGTATTCATTAAGTTACACATCTGGACCACATTGACACCCACATAATGGGGACAATAATTTGGACCTGTAAAATCGGGTCCCGAGAACCAATGGCAATTCTTGCACCATAATGCTAACCACAGCGAGTCTGTTTCGGAGTGGCTAAAGCCTCGCGACTCAGTCAACATACTGTAATGCTAGGGGATAGCTTCTGTAATATCAGCATAAAGCCTAGAACCAAATATATACTAATACCAACCACACATTCATGTCTGTCTAATGGAGTATGACACAAAATACCAGATGCTAATTAGGAGTCTAGTTTATTGGATAAGTCGCGAACATCCGACCCATTAGGTGATGCAGTGAGGCTGTGAAAATGCGCCAAATCCACACTGACAGTAAATTTCGTCAAATGTTTTCAAAAAATCTATGTAAGTCACATCCAACTAGGCACTTGTATCCAATCTTGTCGTCCACGCTCTGCGTACTAGTAGTGTTAGTGCGCACTGCGGGAAAACCGTATCGCAGGAGCGATGACTTCACTAACAAAAAAGCGCTTCATTACTTCATCAAGGACTTAGTCTAAATGATATCCCTATTGTTGGACCTATTAGCCTTTAACAGCAACTCACCAAATTTTTCCGAAGCTTGTCAGAATGACTTTGCTCCTCCTCTTGCGTCCCGATGACTGAGGAGTCACCAGAAGCAGCGGAAGCTCGGAGACTGAGCAAACTATGCACCAGAGGTTTAGTAGAGGTCAGAGGAACCAAGCGATTGACCTCGTATTTTGCATCCGGTTTGGTTGGGACTGAGTGAGGGTCAAACAGGCGTCGCTTCACTCCGTCTCTAAGACCTGTCAAACCTGGTCCGCCACGACGACGGCCGCGATTCATTCTACAAATAGGTTTTATGAATCGATTTGCAGTTATTCACCAAACGCCTGCAGGTAGCATAATAAGAGAGACAATGCAGAGAGATAGTAATGTGTATTTATGTACAGCGTAACAAAAGAAACAAAACAGTACACTATGAAGGGTCTGCAGACTGTGTCACCAAAGCCTGAGCACGTTGAGCTCGATCTTTTCGCAACGCTTTCCTCTTCCGCTTCTTGATAAGTCTTGCTTGATGAATACGCATTAGATCTGACTCCTCGTCGTTCACGTTAAACGTCATTTTTGGATGTTTCGTTAGTTTGGCAAAACGAGTGTCAACAGCTGCTTCCAATAATTCCTCGTTGAAATCAACATCATGCTTTGTTCTAGTGGAAGCAGAAGGAGCCGGTTTGAGAGGAGCGGGGGAAGGTTCTGATAGCAATCCAAGTTTTTCCTTGACTTTATTGTAAAGACGAGTGGAAACAAAGTATCCATGCATATAGGCGCGCAAAAACTGAGTTCCAATCAGTTCCAACATCCCCAGTTCAGACAGTTCAGAACGTGTTACAAACTTATATCCGTCGTACATAGTAGTAACATCTGGTTCACACTCAAGTACCAGCCGATCCAAATGACTACACCAAGAAGGGGCCTCGCCCAACAAAGGGATGAAATAGGTGGAAATCTTGGGTGATTCCATAGCGAGCATGATGAGACCACTATTAGCAAAGTGGTGCATCCAGTTGCATTCAGCACGCCCGGTATCAAAGCCAACAAAGATCTTCCCATTTTCAATGAACCAGCACTTTAGACAATGTGGCATCAGCGCAATTAGTTTATCTTCGCAGAACTCGACAGTTTTTACAGGTTTCCGAAATTCTGTATCACGGATGTGCCAGGGCTGGCGATTCTGTCGCAAATCATATAAATAAACCATGCCATCCACAGTCCCAACGGCAACATTTAAGGAATCCTTGTACTTGAGACAGGTTACACTGCCCGTACCCGATTTTCGTTTCCCTGTGTACGGATCACGGACATCTTCTGGCGGGGGAGCATATTCCGAGACGTTCATCCCAAATACACATTCACCTGTCCTTGCATCCCATCCATCAACCCGACCTAGAGAAGAAGATGCCAACAAAAGACTGTGTTCTTTCCCGTACGCGGAAGCAGTAAAACCATGGGCTGTGCCGTCCAAGTGTGAACTGACAAGAGGTGTGTTAAATCGACCCTCGAGCAAGTTCATTCGGTAGATGGAACTGCGTGACGATGCGATAAATAAATCGCATGTGAATGGAGAGTAGGCTATATCGACTCCTGGTTTGGGAATCCGGAACTTGAAAAAGTGTCCACCAGCGGCATGCACATCAACCCAGCGTTCCTCTTCAAGTAATACAAATTTGGAATAGTCATCGCTCAAAATCTCCATTCGATACGGAAGGTAATCCACACAACGGTCAAATTTTAAGGACAAGTTACCAAGCTCGTAGCATTTAACTCTGGGCTTATATCTGCCCAAAGTAAAAAGATATTGGCCATCGGGGGAAGAGGTGATATAGGTAGCAGAATCAGGCATTTCCAATTCTTGGATCAGTTCAATATGCCGAGCAATGCCTGAATCTTGTGACATTTTCTTACGTTTCTCCGCCCTCGAAGCCCACTCGGGCAATGCTCTATTTGCTGTCAAGTTGTAAACCTTAACTCCATTCAACTGAATCACGTTCATTGTGTAACAGAACCAATTCCTGGATGGAGAAGAACAGGGCGCAGGCGCGATAAGACGATCACAAAGGGTCGATTGCGGAGAACTCAAGGACCGTACACAACTTCCACCATGGAGCTGAAATAAGACAAAAATATAAGGATAATTTAGAAGCACACGAGTAGTCACTCCATCGGATTCCGTTCTACATAAGAACTGAGGCCGGACAAAAACTGAGTTGTTGTGATATGCTACGAAAGTGGTCATCAACTGGGGAAACTCCAAAGGGGAGATTTTTAGGTTTCAAGCGAGATCGGAGACCAGAGACTTGGACAGCCCGGCTTTCGCACCATCGAATGGCCTCACGTTACCTGATGTATGGAGCGAGAAGCAATCGTTTTCCTCAATGACTGATTAGCGCTTACTGATTAACGATACATTTCCACTACATACCTGTTCCAAAAAGACAAACCTGTTACACAGATTCAATGTCGGCAGTAATCCAGCAGAATTAAAAAATAAGTAAATATTGGTACCTAACTTTCAAAACTTCTCGGTTTCGATAATGCAGTCACGATCAAGCTATAAAAGCAAACATTACCTGCTACAACGGCAGTTACACGAATAAAGCCAACCCGTCAGCATTACCATTATATTAACTGGACGTAATGAGACAGACAGAGATATGGCTGCTAATCGATGTCGATGGTGTCCTTGTTGTCAGTTTTTATGCAAATTGCCTGAATGAGTGTCTGGAGGTGTAGGGACTTCGGACTGATTGTAGTAAGCCTCCCCTTTTATTTTTGCTTCAAAATAGGGCTTTCAAACAAATCATGGCTGTAGGGCAGCGAAACATCAGTGTTGAGCACTGATGTAATACTATCAGTCATAATGATGATGTAGACCAATCTATTCCGATCTAATTATTTGTCTACTTTCTGACGACTAGATCGGGGCGAGATGGCCCAAGTGGTTAGAGCGCGAATCTTGGGTGGCATGGCAGTTAGGCACCGAAAAGGTGCTACAGCTGAACGATCTCATCTGACGACTATATCGTCAAACAGGATAAACTGAATTGAAGTGTATCTTGTATACATGGTCAAGGCATACCAACTGGCTGAGAGGTCTGCACAAGTAGGACGATTGGATTGAATTGTTCAGCTGTTGCACCCTTTCGGTGCCTAGCTGCCATGCCACCCGAAGGAAGCACGAGGGCTGAGATATGCCAGGTGTCCAAGCCCTAGACAGGGGAAGTCGAGAGGCGGGAGGCGGGTTCGAACCATGGACCTTCTGGTCAGTAAATTCGCGCTCTAACAACTTGAGCCATCCAGCCAAGTAGCACAAGTAGAAGTCCAGTGTCGACTCATGACGGTCTACATAGACCACATAGGGACCACTCCATGTCACCCCTGACTGAACCAGCTCTTCCCTTTTCCTTACAATTCTTGACATCCTGCACAATCGATGTCTAAAACATTGCAGACTTCGTTGCTGAAGGAGCTAACATAAGCGGAGTAGGTAGTGACAGCGTTTTCAGTTCCCACTGACAGACACCTCTCACTCTATGTCGGAGACAACCAGTGATATAAAGCTTCCAACTTTTGAATATTTCCTGATCGTACGAGCTATCTTTTGCAGGCAAAAAACAAGGGTCGACGGATTTTGGTTTGAACACCGCATTATGGATAATAAAGTAACCAGTCCTTTTCCAAAAGACAGTGTTCAGTTGAATGAAGGCTTGTCTGTACGCCATTGAATTTCTCCTGAGCCCGTCAGTTGAATATGTAGACGTAACACCCTTTCGGTGCCTAAATGCCAAGCCAAAGGAACCACTAGAGCTAGAATGCTAGCAGATCGCCTAGGCCTAGACAGGAGCAGTCAAAGTGCCAGAGTTGGGGCCGGCCTACTTCTTTTTATCAGTAACTTTGTGCCTTAACCACTGAGTCTTTTGGCTCTNGATCGGCAAAATGGTGAAACCAAGGTTTTTGAAATGGGAAAATTGTTGGATTAGTTCATCCCCTATTTTTGGTTGAGCAGATTCCCACGTGCTGATGTTGAAACCCATGAGTTATTCCGAGTCATCACCCAACGGAATAATGTCGGCGCATTCTAATTCAGCTATCTGAGTTTGGGGGACAGGAATCGTTCAGCTGTAGCACGCTTTCGGTAACTAACTGCCATACAACCAAAAGGAAGCAGGAGGGCTGGGAGATTGCCAGGTTACCCAAGTCTAGGTAGAAGCCGAGAGGCAAAGGTTGGGTTCGAACCACGGATCTTCCGCCGACATGGACAGGTGAATGATAACATGTTGCAGGGTTACGGAGTCTAAGAACATTTAGACTGCGTGACCACTGTTATTTAATGGGCATTCGCAGTTTCAAGTGGAGCATCTATAGCAAAGAAAGCGGATTTGGACGTCTCCGCACATAAAAGATGAACGATAGAAGTCCAAGAACGGTGACCCCTGGAACTCCGCTGGTTGATTCGCTCCATAGAGAAGACACTATGAACTCATACGGCTCGGCGACTTCAAACTGGAAAGTCCGTGATCAGGAGATTCCAGTGCAAATCATTCAACTTATTCGAGATTACCGATGAGTATTATCGAAGCGAGAAGTTCGTAATGGATAAAAAGGTACCAAAGATTTGGGCTACCAAAACTGTATTTGGCTGTGACATGCTCAACTAACTTGACGCACACCAAGCGAACAAGAAGCACCTAAGTTTCATAAACAATTTGTCTTATTTCTCATACATCTCCGAACGCAGGCAACATATATTCCACTGTATAGCAAGCTTGTATACTGCGACCGAATAATAACCCCGTAGACTTCGGCATATGCCAATTTACGGGGAGTTGAGACACAATGTGTTTCGTGCCCGCTGGCCATTTATGTGCAGCGCCAGTCGGTCAACTTCGGAAAAGTGACCTGCATCCCCATTGAGAACGCAAACAGGCGTCTGAAAGGAAGAGCGCACCGTACCGACTGCCTGGAACGTGCGATGCAGGTCTCCAAACGCATCAAGTGGCTCTTGTTAGTGTGAGGTTCACAACACTCTGACCGGTGAGGAATTCAGAAGGCATCCACTTTTTTTCGTGTGTTTTGCAGTTGTGAGTTACACTCTCACTCTCATGTGAAATTACCATAAGATGGATCAGTGCAAGTCTAAAAACTGGCCGCTGATTTTTCGCGCAAAAATCGAAATTCTCCCGGAAAGTTAACACCAAAGCTGGTATCTGCACGTGCACCATCCACCTATTCAGGCCGCTGTCCCGCTTGCACCCGTTTCCGGGGTCCAGAGACCACTAGTTTGCCTACTGTCAGTTAACACATTTTATATGCACTTTCTAGGTCGACTTCTCATGAATTATGATGGCTAGTGGAACACCATCATCATCATTGTCAGTTGCGTAAGACCTTGGCCTCTAGCTTCAAAGGCACAAAAATAGAAGACTTGGTCCGAAATAAGTCTGAGTAGCGTGACACCACGTTGACTGCGCACACGTGGGACCAACCGACAACGGACCAAAACAACCTCTTTACTGATTGGTCAGTGTTTTTGACAATCCCCGAGGAAGAGGGGCAGGTATTCAAGGTCAAACATGGGAGTCGCAAGAAAGCCAGTGACGGCACTACGCAATCTTCAACAGATAAAACTACCGGTGATTTCACAACAGCAACATAGGCACTTCGAAGCGCTACTCAGCCGAGGTACTCACGACGACCCCCTGCTGCTGACAGACCGACCAATGAATTCAATTTTGATGGGGAATCTGAATACCGCTGCTCATCAGGCAGATAAAATTTTCGCCAAAACCGTTGTGTAGAGGAAAACGTTAAGATGAGATGCTGTATATATATATATATATATATATATAAGTGTATATATATACGCATATATGCCCAAACCGAAACGCACCATGGCCCGCTTTACTTTGTCCAAATTTGTTTTCATTAGGCTTCCTTCGCAATTTCCGCGTACAATCGATTTTACAGTTGAACTTGTATGACTTAGCAAGTTGCGGGTTTGAGCCCAGATATGTCTACTGAGAAGCCATCACGCCTTCCAACCTCTCCGGAAATTGAGTCATGTGTGGGCAGAGCGGGTAAAAATTCGCCAGCGCTCCTTTAATTTGCGAGGGGGTTCACTACAAATTCGACCAAGTGAAAGTTGCGAAATAAAAAGCAGCAGCTTTGGGGTACAGGTTGTTCAGTCTGGTAGAGTTCATGGAGGCATGTAAACCACCTATCTGTCACGTCTTTTCATTCTTAAAACTATCAACGGTGGGTACGATACTACACAAACGACGTCTTGCGCACTAGCGGATAAACGAAAAGGGGCCGGGCACTTACAGGATTCCGCTGACGTATGGAATGCTGCCGTTTGAAGCGTAGTAGTTTTTAGCCGATGGATTCGACGGTGTCATTTACACTCAAAAGACCAACAACCAACGATGGAAGCGTCGATTTACACTTTAAAAAAGTTACGGATGGCTGGGGTTCAATGTGGCGGATAGTATTCCATCGGTCCTGGCGAACATCTGCGAGTCCGGACAAACACTGAGTTGCAGTCGAGGGAACGGTCATACATGGTTCATCAGGTGGCAGCAGATATCGTCGTTTGGGTGTTTCCCTGATGTCGTAACTATTCACAAAAACAACAAAATGATCTCATCCGGCCTTTAAAAGCAAATAATGTATGGCACGTAGACACGTGTTCTACACCTCCTTGATCGCAGTTGTCATGGATAGGGCTCATCCGGCTGTGCATACGTTAGTGGGAATCCAGCGGTTTACTTCCATGCGCAAGGTGTTTAGCTTGTTCAGGGATATATGGAGGAGGAATATCAGGTCAAGTCTTTCGTCGTGGACTAACTTTCGGCACAAATGCTGACGATCAGAGTTGAGTAGGCCGTGCATTTTACATACTCGCCAGCCTATCAGGAGGCACGTACGCATAACACAGCCCCCAGATATTTTCATCAAAGTCGCTCTCTTTCAACAGCCCACACATATTTAAACTTATGGTTAGACTATACCCCTCAACGCAGGATGTCCTTAGAGCAGATTCCTCCACTTGCAAGCTGTGAAATAAACTTATTGTTGTGGATATTACTGTGCTTCCGTGGCCCCTGGTTCATCATGTAACGGACATTTCCTTGTTCCATCAACCAACTTCGCTTAATAAGTCTAGCGCATCTGGTGCATCTAGTCTATTGTCCACTAGATCACGCGATTCGCCTGCTCCGCAGGCACACTCACAAATCACCGCACACAATCATGACTCACTTGACTACACAGCCCACAGTTCTTCACTGGATCACGAGACTTGTCTACTTCTACACTCACCAATGAAACCACATAAGTGTGGCGAATCTGAAATTGACTGTCTACCGTCTGGTAAGTGTAGAACATGTCATGTGCTGACGCATCCACGCACAGGGAAATGAGCCTACTTTTGGAGAGACAGACATGGTCACCACATATACCCGCGCGCGCAGAGAAGCTAGGAGTTCTCCAAACTCCACAGGTCCATGGACGATTCCCGCAGTCATATTGCGGGGATACACGCTCCCGCCCTCAGGACTTTCACCAAGGAACTCTCACAAACGAGAAATTCCCTTTTTGACTCGCTCCAGTTTTGCATCCTTTTGTAGGTGAATCAACTCCCCGGTGTAAACCACTGTCAATCATTGCAAACATCTGAGTGATACTATGCCTATCAGTTACCACAACCTCTGCACTAATAACCTCTACACTGGAGGTTCACTCAATGCATACTTCTGGCTAGTGGCTCTTGCGCCCTTGCAATTGTGACTCAGTCGTCAATGGTAGCTTGAAAATGCAGTTGCAAAACCCAGACACTCTCGAGCATGACTTAGAGTACTCTGTCAAGCGGAGTCTCTTGCACAGGAACGCGAGGTGCGTAATTCGTATCGCCGGGAAGTTCAGGGGGCAACAGCAACGCTTTAAACATCCCTCTAGGACGTCAATCTCCCGGTTGTAACTGAACTATTAGCCTAACTTGCGTGCCATGCAAGGTAGTGAAACGCATTCTAAAGCGGGCCACCCTATGTCACTTTACTAACAAAAGCTTGATATCCCCAGTTCAAAGTCTTCCAAACCCCCCTGGTGTCACAACCGTGCCCGGATTCATGGACAGCTTACTACAAGCTAGGAAGAATGGGCTCAAATCAGACGCCATTTTTCGGTTTCTCAAAAGCTTTCAGTCCAGTCC